CCCTAATTCCCTCTCAAACCAGTCCCCTTTCCCTAAAAAATTTTCTCTCATATTTAAATTCAAATTAGATCTCTTGCCCTAAATAATTTCCTCCCAATTGTAATTAAAACTTTCCTAAAAAAATTCTCCTTGATTCCTCCTCCCTTTCCCTAAATATTTCCCTCTTAAATTTTGAATTCAAATAAGGTCTCTTGCCCTAAATATTTTCCTTCCAATTGTAATAAAAATTTTCTTAAACAATTCCTCTTTGATTAAGAACCTTCCTAAATAGTTCCTTGTTCATAAGAAAACTTCTTAATTCCCTCCCGGATGGTTCATCAATACTCCCCTCCTAAAGTGTCACCTTATCCTCAATGTGGAACGAAGGAAACTGTTGTTGAAGCACTGGACAAATAGCACAAGATTGAAAACTGGACTGTCAATAAGTCAAATGATCACTGCCTCCAACATCTCCCTGATCAATCTCTCTATCTCATCCTTCTAGAGTTGAGGAGAATGGTTAGGAAGAACACTGATATGTGAGACTCCATCCTTCCAAAATAATAGCATGCACGTGTTCCCGCGGAGGAAGCAACCCCTGTAAAACCCAAAAATGATGATCGTAGGTTGTCACATGCATTTCGATGCGTCGCAACGAAACTTAAGTGAAAATTCAAAGTTAACGGATTTCTACGAAAGTAATTTTATAAAATTCTACATAAAATTCTGATCGATTTTATATATACAACATATATTTAATTTTGTGTATTTAGGGAATTATAAAATTTAGAAGCGTAGAAATACCTATTCTACCCCTAATTGTTTCTTAAGCCGAATTTGTTTAAGGGAAAAATAGGGTTTTTAGCAATCCTTATTCTCCCTAATATGAGCAAAAATCGAAACTCTCACCCTCATTCTATTCGCACGATCGACCGAAACTGAGAGGAACGGGCGGACGGTCAGGCTTCGACAGGCAAGGTTCCGGCGGCGATTTTCCGGCGATAAATTTAGTGCAAATCGAAGAGGATGATAAAGGTATGATTTATTTAAAGCGAATCATTCTCAACCTCAAGATTTTTTTAGAGAAAAAATCTAGGGTTTTTCCAAAAATGTGATTTTTCTTCCAAATTTCTTTACGAAATCAATAGGGATGATTTAGGGAAGTGATTTAACGGTAGAAACAAATTTTTCTCAAATTATTTTGAGTTTAGAAAGATTAGGATTTTTCCTAATTTATGATTTTTAAGCAAACCTTATTATAAATTTTGTTCCTTATGATATAAGAAGTGCTTTAATAATGAAAATTTTGATTTTTAGGAAAAATTTCATTTTTCTTAATTTCCTAATTAATTAAATCTAAAAATACATAAGATAATTATTAAATTATTTTTAGGGATATTTTCGGCATATTAATTTGATGAAATTGAAGATTTAGAATTTTCCGAAAATTATGGATTTTAATAAATCCGAAAATTAAGATTAAATTGTTCTAATTTTATTAAATGTCGTAGGGAACAATTAAGGGTAAACGAAAAGTTTAGACAATTAGGAATTAGATTAAACCTTAAGAAATATTGATTTGTGACACGTCTTTTTATGCAATTATTAGGTTATGAACTTTAAGAAGATCGAGATGTGTCAAAACAACATTTTGAGGAAGTACCGTGCTTGGGTTAAGGTAGGTATTCATATTTATTGTAAAAATTTCATAATCATGTTTTGAACTTTTATTCAATACAAATAGTTGGAATTTTCATGTTATACGATTTACGAATTTCATTTTGGGTAAATAACATATTCAAGTCTTTTATTTCATTATGTTAGTGAACTTTCATATTATGTTTAGATTCAAGATTTTCATGCCTTAAATAAATGATTTTTTATTCACAAGTGTTTCTCTTTAAAGCATATGATTGACTGAATATAAATCATAAATTATGATATAAGACTATGCATGCTGATGCGGAGTGCCCAAATGGTAAAGGGACTCGAGATGGTCAAATGGTAAAGGGACTCAAAAGAGTCAAATGGTAAAGGAGCTCGTTAGAGCTAATGGTAAAGGAATGACCAAATGATATAAAATGTATACCTGAACAGTACAAAAATTTATGGTCACATCCGAGACGGGTGATATAATAGACATTATACATAATATGTTTTATGTATGTTTTCTACACAATATGAAAATTGATGTTTGAGGGAAAAGATAAATGAAAGGTTTATGATTGAGAAAAAATTATAAAAAAGTTTCTTATATGTAATGTTATGAACTTATGCATTATTGACCGTTGTTTCATGTTTTATTATAAAAAGATGTTTTATTATAGTTTTATGTAATTTTTTATGAAAAATATGAATTACCTGCTGAGCGAATAAGCTCACCCCTACTTGTGAGAATCTTTTCTAGGAGAACCATTTGGGAAGTGATGGCTACGAGATGACCGTACACCTACCGTCGTAGAGAACCTCAGGAAGAAAGGTTTTATGTTTTCTGTTATGAGTTTGAGTTAGTGATTTGTATCTGATAAGTCTGTTGGAGTTTATGTAATTGTTGATATTTATGTGTTTAATTATTGTGGTTTAGAATAAACAACTTGGAACACTTTCATTTGATGTTTTTAGTGGCTCTTTCATATTATAGTTGATGATGTTCATGTTCCGTTATAAAAGTTTAATTAATTGTTATGATTTATGTTATGGTATTTTCCGTACGACTGTCTGCTCCTGCCCCGTTAATTCGGGCTAGCCGGGTCGTGACAACCCATGAATTGGCTAGAACACATCTCAATATTCCTATAGGAGTGGTTGAACCATGCCTGGTGCTTCTATTTTCTCCCCATCTTATTTTCCTTCCAAACTATATAGTTCCACCAAAAATCTTACTCCTTCAACCTTTCCCCCCTTCCAAACTATATAGTTCCACCAAAAATCTTACTCCTTCAACCTTTCCCCTCCTTGGAAGTGGTTCCAAAGATGGTATCTCCTCTTCTTCCCCCAAAATTTTCACCTCCAGATTCTCCCTCATTATTTCTATATTAGGGTATCTCCCATTTCCTAGTTCGTTCAATGATGCTCTCACCTATGATGTTGTCGGTTTGGTTTCGCCCTCAATCAACTTCTTTATCATCTCCTCCATTATGGCAAATTTCTCATCGATCTTCTCATGGATGGTTGAAAATTACTTTTCGAAACTTGAAATCTTTCCTACAAAATCGGATTTCAATTGTCCAATCTCCCTTTTCAGCACTTCTACCTTTCTTACCGTCATAGGTACTCGGATTTAGGCTCTAATACCAATTTGATAGGAAAAGCTTGTAGAAAAATGAAAGAACCTTGGCTGAATTTGAATTCAGCAATTTGCAAAAGCAGAAATTAAGAGTAGATGGTGGAATAACAAAATAGATACTCTTTTAATTAATAATAGTGGAAGAAAACAACAATATACGATTGATCCTCAATTGGAGAGGATGATCTACCTCTCCCAATCTTTAGATGCCGCTAGAGCCCAATTAAAACCTAAGAAGACTACAAATTCCAACAAAAGACAAGACAACCTAACCCTAGGAAAACATCCTACTTAAAGCATCCAATCATAAAGGAATTCTCTAAACCACCCCTCCTTTGAATTCTCTCCTAAACCACCTAAAAACCTTCATAATTGACGCATGTTGGACCCCAAGTAGAGAGGCGAGCTCTATTTGTGCGGAACAGACATTCCGCCCCTGATAGAAGAAGAGTCAGTCCCTCCTGGACCGACTGGACCAATCCCTCCTGCACCGATCTAACATAATCGATATTAATTCTTCTAATCATTACGTTTACTACTTGTATTCCATATAATAGATATAACCATAACCTTACACCTAACTAAACCTAGCATAATTTTCCTCATAATTGGGTTAAGTTATGGCGGGTGATATTCTATTAAACATAAATAAATATATTTATAAAATTTTAATCATCAACAATGATAGAAAAGAAACATAAACCAACGACAAATCATTACAACATCAAATATAAACATAACTGCTAATTAGGGGACTCGGGCTCCCGTATGAATTCTGTGATGCTAATAAATTTTGCATCTTTTCTGAGAAGACACTTCATATTGTTAAAAGGATGCATCGTCACTGAGAATTTTAAACTCTTTGGCTACAACCCCAAGTAAAGGGATAGATTATCTATAATCTTATCATCGTCGGTAACATCATGAGAGGCCTTGTAGAACCTCACCATATAGAATCTAAGAATCTCTTCCTCATTCTGCTTAATGTAAAAGAAAAACTGAGAGGTCCTCACGGAAATTTAAATAAGTATTAACTCTACTTGCTATAAAAAGGGTGGGTAGAGAGAACGGGATATGCATCCCTCCAACACATCATTTGGCTCTGCCGACAACCATGTGGGCGATGTTTTCAAGAAAATGTAACAAATAAATTAAAAAGATTTCTATAGGATTGGATTGAATAAAATGTAATTGATATTTATATATCTATCGAAGTTTTAGAAAGGATTTAGGTACCCAAGAAAAACTTAAATAATATTTAAAACAGAATAACTTCATGTAGCGTCCAAACCTATGCCATGAGTATCCAAGCATCCAGAAGTATTGGATATATAAACAGTACTCCTTCAAGGTATTCATACATCAAGAACTCCTTATGCAGCAAGACGTGCATTTGGCCAAATTAATGTACAATGAAAATTATATTCACATTCTCAGAGATCATCAGAACGTGTAAACCAATTTCCTACTTGTACAAATTATCGCTGAATTGATATAAATCATTGATTACAGTAATTTCCAGGTTTACTTTATCATCTATCTTGTTCAAACCTTTATTAAGAGACTTGACAGACAAACTAAAGACATCAAAATATGCAATTTGAGTATATCGAGCTAGATAACTTAAAAAACATTGAACGTAGAAGTTAAGAAAAAAAAATCTACTTCCCAATCCCAGAAGAACATAAAGTTTTTAAACTAAAACACCCCCTTGGTAGAATACATGCTCAATAACCTGAGAATTTGCTTTGTTCTGATCGTTAGCAGCTTCTTTTTGGTTGGAAATTAGATCATCTGGAAGAAGTTCATGAAATTCCAGATCATCTTGTCCTGAGATGTTACCTGGAACAGTAACAATAGTTTTGAATGCCCTTTGGAAACCATCAACTTCATTCCCGATAACTTCCTCCCAGGAAGTTGCATTATATAATGTTCTGGCCTTGTTAAACTGTAAATCATGGCCTGCCCCGTTAAATAGTTTGGTCATATTCTCTTGTGCTACTGAAAGGCAACCAGATTTTGATTGAGAAGGGAGCTCTTGGTATTCATCTAAAAAAAAAATTTTGACACACTCATTCTTTCAGCCTTTTAGGAGAAACATATTTTATGAAATAGTAACCATGCATCTTACATTGACTGCTTTGGGAAGGTAATGGGGCATTTGTGTTTGAGAAGTTAACATCTCCTTGAGGTCCTTCGACATACTGCTGCAACTCAACGAAAGGGTGGTATCTGGATCTTCCATGATGATTATCTGCTGAATCGAATTTCTCTTTAGATACACTGAAAGAGAGTTGTGTGATTAAAAGTATGAATCAGCGAAGTAACATTTGAAGAAATCATCATCAATAAGCTATCTGGATGCCCAATTTTTGTCAGTATACAATTCACAGCATATCTTAGAGCAATTCAGATGATAATTGTACCGGATTCTGCATCTGCATATACTGATGTTTGAGTGCTATTTGGGCTCCCAATTTCCATGGTCTGTGAGGGAAGATGACTCTGGCCAGTAAAAGAATCAGAGCAGACAGGGCTGTCCATACGGGTCGCTGATGCAATGTCATCATCATCCTTGACACGATTAAAGCCCCCTTTACTACCCTGAGAGGCAAAATTTAGAACCAAAATATGAAGACATTTCCAGGTAGTCTAACAATGTCAGTCTTATCAATTAGAAGCAATAGATAATGAAAAGAAGTCAAGTAAAAATAACTTAAAGCTACCGCTGTTTGGATTCAAAAACAGGCACTTAAGTAAAGAAAACAAGTTTGGCATTATGGGTGAGATTAATTAGATTAACTAAGCTAATTATATACAAATTACGTGAATTAGGGATTAACGTAGATGATTAAGATCAACAAGTTTAATAGTGTTTAATTATGGGAATAATTAAAATAATTTATCATTAACTGTATATTAAGGATAAATAAAGGTTAAAACTAAGGTCATTAAATTTTATTATCTTATACTTAAATCAATGATCTAATTAGCAAGATAATAGTTAATTGTTTTGATGGATTAGTGACTAAATAGGATTTAATTATCATTTATTCATTTTAGTATTTGTGAGCTCCATAAATTCATGCCCAGCTCTTCTAAGAGAGTTATATTTTGGGTGAAATTTTCAAAAGATAGATTGGATTGCAAATAATACACTACCATCCAGAAACTTTGCCTTGATTTTTCAATGACTTTATGATCAGGTTCAAATTTCCTGTAAGTGTAGGCTCCAATATTTAATTTCCCCGCCAGATGACGAGATAGAACTTTCAAAAAATACTACTCATAAGGTACCAAATGTTTAGCATAACATAACAACAATTTTGACCTAGAATTGAGAAATTTGCCACCGTTAACTTAAAGCAAATGACGGGGGTAATAAAAAACCTAATCAAGATCCAATGATTCTGTCATCCTTGGCTGCCATAGAATATGGTCTGCTTAGTTAATGAAGATAGTCAAACCAACCTAACCAAAAGATCATTGTTAGCAAACATGAGTTGCTTTATCCAATGGTACTTTATCAACATAAGATGAATGTTTGTCTAAAGGGATAATTTTATATCAACATTAGCTAACAAAGTGTTTTGTGCCTATCAAATGTATCCTATGATTCACAAAAAAAGGGGTTAGAGCCACTAGGAAATATCCACGTTATGACTGTGAACATAATATGATGTCATTTTTGCAGCGAAATCACCCAAAAAAAGAGCCCCGGTAATAATCATTATTCATTAGTGTCATTTTGCGGAAAAAATACCAAGTTAGAGGACACGTCATATTTTATTAGTGCGAGATGTTTTAAGAATGATCATAACGATATGCTCAACTAGACATTAATTCTTTGAGATTAGATGTTAATTATAAAATTGCCATACTATCAAACTATTGCAGATGGTCAATGGATTATTAATTTTATCATTAGGGTTGTAGATTTCACTTGACAATATTTTTCTTTTTATTTATTATTATCATTTTTATATTTTATACTATTACAGGAATTTAGGCCCCATAAAAGTTTATTTAAGATTATGGGGATTCCCTTAGACTGATATTCAATTTCAACATTGCCGTCATTAAGGTTCAAGTCCCATTGACTCCAATCTTTATGAGGATCAGACATAAAAAATATTGGACTTACGGTTGTAAGATTTAGGTATCGAATCCATGATCTTATGGTTGGGTTTGGGTATAGAGCACTAGGCCAAGGCCAAGTCCAAAGGTTCTAAAAGGGGCTTAGCAATTAATTTGCTCCACGAAATGTGATTTTGTCATTATGCGATATTACATCCATCTAACGGAATAAGGGATTGTTTGCTTTTGCTGCATTACAGGAGTAAAGCAACCAACTATACGAGTTTCGAAAATTTCAGCTATTTGATTGGTTGCATGTCAAATGTAAAGTATTTTATCGATGAATTTAGAATTCAACATCTAGTTTATCTTTGGTGCATTCCAAAATCAGCCGATTTGACTCATTTCCAAAAACATTGTGAGTTCTTTGCCACTCACCACCGCCAAAACCACCCACGATCGTCAGCCGCTACTTCCACCATCAGGCACAACTGTCAAGCTTTACGTTGAATTCATTTTACCTCAAAATAAATAAAAAATACTCTCTTTCATTGGTTTTACACTCAACCATACAACTCTACGCCTTCCAAAAAAAACTAGACAACTCTACGCCTTCCAAAAAAAAAACTATACAACCCTAAAAAATTTTAAATACACTAAATTTATTTTATACTATATTCTTTTTGCACTACGTTCCTTTTCTAAGCAAATTAAACACCCTCTAAGAGTGTAAATATAAATAGTTTTATGCATATGTAAATTGGGCACGTTTGCATTGATGTGTAACAGCACCAATAAATGACCTAAAACAAGTGAGTACGATCGTCATGATTAAGTTTGATGCCAGAGTGTAAATTAACTAATAGGAGATCAAAAATAAGCATACAAAAATTCATTTCTAAAAGCTTCATTACAGTTTGAAAGTATCACTAAGAGAACATTAGCATTAGGGATAAAAACATGAAACCGTCGGCACACAATCTACTTCATTGTAACGTGATCTGAAAATAGAAAGAGAAAAATTAGCAGGTGAAAGAGAGTGACTGAATTCTGACCTTAACTTCCAGATAATGTACAAGAACAATGTGCATTAAGGCCCTGAAATAATAGAAAACAAAAAGAATGATCAATAATTTTCAAGCACGTCAAATGAATTGAATGATCAGCAGCACATCAAAAGCATCGCAAAGGATAGTAGATACTATGAAAAACTACATATATTTCATATTGCAATTAATTTTATTAAAGAAGGAGATAATTTTTAAGTAGTGAACAAACGTCCATCACATATGCAAAAAAATTCTAACACAAATTTATAACTGTAAATGTTTTTCTTGGTTTGAGCCTCGATTGATTGACATCATTATGCATCTAAACATAGCCTATATAGAATGCCTAACATATTCTAACATGAAAAATTTTATTATGTCATCATTAGGGGGTGTAAACTGTCAAGTCAAGCTAAAGTTATGCCTAAATAAAAAATAATAAAATTAAAAAAAAAGCTAAAGTTACGCCTGTTATTATAATAAAATGATTAAAAAAAAAAGAAATTAGAAGAAAACTAATAAAAAATCATTGACATAATGCAATGAGATATTTTTAAATATTTTTAATAATTGTTTATTTTAATTTATAAATGCTAATTTTTTTATATTTTATTTTATATTAATATTTTTCAATGAGTAAACTCACGAGCTAATCAGTCAAGTCATGGCTAGCTTAAGTTTGGATCATTAGTTCATCAGGCTTGTTAGTTAATGAAGTTCAACACCCCTAGTCATCAAGAATCAAAAGATGCCATTAGTAGATGCAACCATTAATGAAGTTCAACACAAAATAATTCTCAAAAAATATTGGGCACAGGTTTGTGCAATCTTGATTAAAGCATAAGTAATTATCCAAAGTAAGAAAATGCTCACGCCAGCAAGCCATTTAAAGCGGATTATCAGTAATAACATGTAACAGATGTCGCTTGATATTGAGTTAACTGTATCTATTATTTCTCCTAAATGCATATGAATTTTCATATTATATTGAATAATTTTCTACCATTTTAAATACTTAAGAATTATAATAAATTTAAAAAAAACAAATCTAAAAGTACTTTTGGAAATATAGAAGTGACTCAAATATATTATTTTAGGAATTTTGACGCTTAAAGTGATCATTTCATCTAAGGACTTTTGAAGATTTTTATAGATTAGTATATGACTTTTTGCATATTTTTCGAAAATTTTAAAAGGAACTAGAAAATTATTAACCATACAGGTGCAGTTCAGCCTGAACCAATTTGTCCTAAATCCACCCAAACACAAGTCCCCTCCTCTGCCCTAGATTCATATCAATCAATAAGCGTGAAAGATGGATATGTTAATGATTGTAAAGAAAAATGAATTTCATATTCAGGAATCCTAGATTGCAGCATATTACTCTATTAGTTTAAGCTTTCAAGTGATTCCAAGCTTGACATAGGCTAGTGCCTAATCTAGTTAACCAGCTAACTTATGAGAAGCCTAGCCCAGTAAGCCCACATCTTATGTAATATCCGTTGTTCCAGAATCTAGCTAGTTGACCAATCCCATATTAATCCTCACTTATGATTATTTAATTATTAATTATAAGTTTTCTAGTATCTAATTAATGTTAAATAAGTTAAAGATTGAAATGAAAAAGAGAAACCAATAGGAGGCAAAAGGCTCTTTGGAGCGCTGCGGCTCTAGGAGTGGCAGCACTATAGCACTGTCTTCTCTTTTGGGAAGAGGATTTGAGGTAGCACTAAAGCGCCTGGTTCTCGATTTAGAGGAATTTGGAAGAGACTGGAATATTATGCTAGAGCACTTCGGTGCTGGAAAAGTGAGCGCTGTGGTGAGGGGTCAAAAACGATGTTTTAAAATAAATATTTAAAACCATTTCCCATTTCGCCTCACCACCCCACTCAGCTTGGCAGAGAAGAAAAAAGAGAGAAAAGGAGGAGAGATCAAGAGGCCAAGAAGCTAAATTCATTCATTTGGAAAATTAAGAATTTTGTTGAGTACAAGGTAGGCGTCTAAATACTTGTTTCTGGTTTCAATTCAAATAAGCATATATCAAGGAATAAAAAAAGTTGAAATTTTACAGCCTTTTCTCGTGTTTCACAAAGTTTTCCCCATGTAACTTTTAGTATATTGTAGAATGCTTTATTTTGAAAACTTTGAGTGTAAAAATTTTAAATTTTGCTGGTTACTTTTCTCTATGTTGATTTATGTGCATATCAAATAATTTAGGCATTTTTGTATTTGCTCAAGAAAAATGATTCTTCGACATGAATTCCACTTGGATTCCATTCTCCTTAAGGCATATTATAATTAACCATATTTTCACTGAAGATTATTTTAGAGTTTAGCTAGATATGGGTTCTTACTTACTATGAGCGCAATACCTCATAGTTAATTACCTCTCTTACTGCATAAGAGAGAACTCTCGATTAAGGATAAATAACTTTAGGTGTTTTAGTCTCGTTTGTTGGTGGATGGAGGTAGACACGATCAAGATCCCATGGCTCCGTCATCCTGGGAATATAATAGGTTTCAGTCTACCAACATCAGCAATCGTTGATCGTAATGTTCAAGGAATCTAATTACCAGTCATTGGTTGCCTCCTCTCAGGGATCTCGAGTAAACTGAAGTGATTAGATATAGATTGTAATTTTATTGTGGTTTGGGGTTTACATCTACTTGAATACCCAGTAATTTATTTACTTTGGGGCTTACGGCTCATTTATAAGTTTCCCATAGGTTTGAATTTGGTTAGGGGGTTACGGGTCCACAGGAGTTCCCATAGGTTTGGTTTAGTTTAGTTTGGGGCTTACGGCTCCACTTAGTAGTTGCCCATAAGTTTGAATTTGGTTCGAGGCTTATGGCTCCACTTAGGAGTTGCTCATATGTTTGATTTAGGGTAGGACTTACTGCTTTCATTAAAAGTTATCTGGTTTGATGTAATAGGTCTTATGGCTTTTGCATTAGAAGTAGCCTAGTTGTTTAGCTTAGGGTTGTTCACTAAAAAGTTTCCCTAGCATGTTGATTAAATGTGGGCCTTACTGCTTCACTTAGAAGTAGCCCGATTTATTTAAAAAGTGGGCCTTACAACTTTTATTAAGTAGTCAGATTTATTTAAGAAGTGGGTTTTACTGCCTCTATTAAAAGTAGCTTGATTCATTTAAAAAGTGGATCTTACTGCTTCTATTAGAAATAGCCCGTTTAATTAATTTGGTTCAGGGCTTACGACTCTACTTAGGAGTTTCTCAGTTATTTGAATTGGTTCGGGGCTTACGGCTTCGTTTCGAAGTTGCCCATATGTTTGAATTTGGTCAGGGCTTATGGCTCCACTTAGGAGTAGCCCGGTTGTATGAATTGGTTTAGGGCTTACGGCTTCGTTTGGAAGTTTCCCGTAGGTTTGGCTTTGGTCTGGGGATTACATCTCCAATAAGGCGTTGCCCATATGCTTAAATTTGGAGGGGGCTTAAGGCTCCACTTAGGAGTTGCCCAATTGTTTGTTTTAGATAGGTCTTAATGCTTCTATTAGAAGTTGTCTGATATTTTGTTTGGATAGGTCTTACAACTTCCCTTAGAAGTTGCCTTATAATTTTGTTTGGATGGGTCTTATTAGAAATTTAAATCGTTTAGATTACAAAGATTGTAAAGTTATTCCGAATGAAAATTTATGTACCCAACATCGATTATTAGTTTTAGACTTTAAGATAAAGAGGCATAAAATAAAAAATAAAGTAAAATGATTTTCTAGGATTATATGGGGGCATTTAAAAAATATTAACAAAAATATTTTTGAGAATAAGA